GCTTTACGAAAAACGCAATACTACAAATTGTTGAAGAATAAAAGTAGTCCAAAGAGCCCAACTGCATCATTGGTGCTAATTACGGCAAAAATGGCAATAGTGAAATACAATCAGGACAACAAAAAGAGTCAGTGAAATTTTTCTTTCTAGATAAGATATATCACACCTGTATATCAAATATGCTAGAAAAATACAATATATAAACAAAACTAAAAGAAAAGGCAAAATTTAAAACCCATTAACCCATGAGAAGAGTCTCAATGGCTTCGAAGAAAAGTGCTGACATTTCAGGGATTGGAGACTTGATTGCACATTTGATGCCAGGGTTTCCAATCACTGTGATAAGTTCAATTAAGAATGGAACCCCTTTAGGGAGTTTAGCTGAGAAGTAAAACACGTCCTTGATAGCAATCTTGCACTTTGCAATAAATAACATGTTTGGTGCAACCGATTGTTCCAGAGTTGCGTCTGCACTGCTAATTGCCTTTCGCAACAGACGCATGTCAGACATCCGTTTAAGGCCAAATGGATATCCCACATCTGTTTTGGCCTATATCCGTTTGGTCTTCGCGGGTTCTGTTCAACAATACAACCACCAGAAAGATAGTGCATAAGCAACAACAAAACAACATAGATCCAAAGCCAAAAAATAATAATACACCATAAATTAAACTATCAAACAAGGCTAAACAATAATGTTGAAGAAAACTAGTGAAGAAAATCAACCTGAATGGAGAGGAAAACAAACCGAACAAAATCTGGATCACGTTCCTCGATGCTTGTCTACGCTCCTCCATACTAAAGATCAACAACAATGGAAGCAATAACAATGGAAGCAATGAAACCCAAAAGGAAAATGGCGAAGAGACAAATGAAGGAAAAGGAAAGGAAAGGAAGAAGAAATGAGAGAAAGTGAGAAGAAAATGGGGAAGAGAGATACATGTGAGAGATGGGTGGGGTGCAGAAGAGCAAAATTGAGGAGAAATAGAGTTTTCAAATTAATTAAAAAATCTTAAACAGTAAAAGTAAAAAGGTTTTAACTAAAAAAAAGGATAAAATTGGAATTAAATGAATTTGGAGAGGTGGAGGAAGCATGGTGTGGTGGTGGAGGGAGTAACACCCATCTACATCACAACCTAATTTCATTAACAAAACTACTTAAGTACATGTAAAAAGTAACAAAAAAAATATATTTCATTTTTTTTAGTACTAATAACTTATCATTTAAAATACATTGTCAACATTGTTAATAAATAGTAAGGTAAGTCATACATACACATTTTCATCTAATATAATTTTATTTCAACCCTAGCCTAAAACTATTTTAAAAATTTTAAAATAACAAACAAATAAGAAATATAACACAATTATATTAGATTTTTCAAATCGAGTTTCCATTTTTAAACCCAACTTCAAAATTTGCAATTGATTACTTTTAGTCTATTACCTTAAATTATTTGTATGTTAAGTAAGTAAATAAACAAACAATATTAGGATGATATTTTGTTTAATTAAACATTTCAATGTGATAAAATACAGTTTTAAGATGATAAAAAATATATTTTTGAAATAATTTTTTTTGTTTACTATACTGGAAAAATGAGACTGTACATATGCTAAACTTAAAAAATTATGCAAAAAAATTAATAAAAATGAGTGTACATAAGAAATTGGGTGAACCCACTTTTGACTTTTTGACACCTCTGGCCTTCTAAGTGGATTTGATTCAAATGGAAGCCCATTGAACCAAATGCAAGCCCAGAAAAAAAAAATTCAAAAGACACTTTCTTCCTGCGGTTCCGTAAGTGTGGAGAAAGTCCAAATCATTCAAAAATTTATTCTAATTTGGAATGTATTTTTTAAATTGAAAATATATTGTAAATTGTATAATTTCTAAATGTATTATAGATTGTATAATTTAGAATATGTTTTTGAATTACATAATCTAAAATTGCATTTTTTAGTTTTATAATGTAAAATGTACTTTCAAATTATGTAATACAGATATAAGTTCAGAATCGTGTAATTTGTAACATGTTTTTAAATTATGTAATCTGAAAATGTACTATAGTTCAATCCAAAATATATTTTTAAAGCTTAATACCCTATTTTGTCCCAAGTTTCGCTTGAAAATGTCAAATTAGTTCATCTTTTAAAGAATGAGTCAATTACGTCCTTACTTAATAAAATTTACATCGAAATCCCTTCCGTTAAATCCGTACAAACGGCGTTAATTATTTTTCTCTCTCTTCTATTTTTTTACATCAATGAAATCTTTTCCGTTAAATCCGTACAAACGGCGTTAATTATTTTTCTCTCTCTTCTACTTTTTCTATTTTTTCTGTTTTTTCTGTGCAACCCAACAACTTTTTTTCTCTCTTCTACTATTCTTCTTCTCTCTTCTACCCATTATACAATATTTACTACCAAATGGAATACCCTTAGGTTTCTTTATAAGTATCACTCTCTTTAAGAAAATAATTTTATTTAGTTATTATTTTTATAGTGCCTTTTTTTTATATATTTACACTCTTTTTTTTAATTATATTACATTATAATTAAAAGAAATTGAAAGTCTTGCTAATTAAAAGAAAATTTTTGAAAAATTGATTAAAAATAAATCTAAATATATATTTTTAATTCCTTTAAAATAAGTGAGTTTATAATTTTTTTTAAAAGGTATTTATTTCTTAATTACTCTAAAATTAAAAATTAAAAATTTAATTTTTAATAATTTTATTGTTTTTGTTTAAATTTTATGATCAATATAATTAAGCATGCATTTAGTAAGTGAGTTTATTAAAAAATAATCATTATTAACATATTAATAATTAGTTAATTTTGAAACAATCACTAATTATTTTAAATTTATAAAATAAAAAATATATTTTAAAAATTAATTATATATTAATACTAATTTTACCTTTAATAAATATATATTTTTTTGGCTTTAATAATATATGTAACAATTCAATTAGATCAATAGAATTCAAAAAAATTAATAAAAATAAAATTTTCTACTGAAACTTTAATTATAATTATTTATTACATTAAAAATAAAATATATTAATGTTGATGGTACTAAATCGATTATTTATCTAAAAAAATTATAATTACCATAATCAAATTTAAGTAACTTAAAGAAATTAAAATAAAATTATATTTAAATTTTAATTTTTTTGTGCCATTTTGAAAACAAATGTCTTTTCCTGCTGGGTAAAGTATTTATGTAAATGGTTCTCTGATTAAAGAAATACCTCTATCAATCTTTGTTTTAGTGAAATAATGTAGAGCTGAAAGGTTTGAAAATACCATGTTAGAAATTAACAATAGAGGAATTGCATTAACTCTGCTATAGAAACTATAATCTTTATGAGAGTGATGACAACTGCCATAATCTACTGACGGATTCCCTTTTCACTTTTGTCACTTCTGATTTTGTATTTTCTTGGCTTCTGATGTGCAGGATCTTTCTTATTGCACTGAAACACACTTCAAGACTCTCGAGAATAAATATAAAAATGTTGTTTTTAAGGATTTGAGGAAACTCTGGGATAAGCATGATCCTAATCTTCCATGGAAGAAAGGGTATTACAATGAATCCAATACTTTGTTGTTGGATGATTCTCCTTACAAGGCATTGCTGAATCCTGTAATCAATTTTAACTCACTTTTATTTCCTTCCGCAGCTTTTTATATCAACTAATTACTACATTTTTCTAATCTTTTGTTCCAATTCTTTTGATCAATTATTCAGCCAAACACTTCGATTTTCCCTCATACATTCTGTTATCATGATGAAAACGACAGCTCTTTAGGTAAAAATTTCTTTATAATATTTACTTGTATATAGTAATGAAAACATATTGAGTAACTTCTTGCTTGAATCTTTATCCTGAAATATTAGAAAGAAGAACAATGTAGTTTTGTAATCCGGAGAATGTCAAGATGATTTTTTTTATATAGTTTATTTTAAAAGATATAACCAAGTAGTCATTTGTTAATTCAGAATAAACTTACATTTAATGTGATGAACTGTTTGTAAAATGAGTCTTTTTTGTTTCTAACATTTTTTTCATAATTAACCAAAATTTATTGAAAACAATCGATTTTAGTGTCTTAGTTTACAAGGTTTATAATTTGAACATGATGGATTAACAGAATAATTCATGACAGCTGAAGGAGGAGAGCTGAGAGTATTTCTAGAAGGCTTGACAAAAGCTGAAGATATGAGAAAGTATGTTGAGGAACATCCCTTTGGCCAAGAAGCCATTAGTAAAACAAGTGATTCTTGGAACTTCTACAGTCAGGTCATTGAGAGTCTATCTGCAGAGAAAGCAATGTCTGATTTGAAGAGAAAATGAAACAAAAGGGTCTTCTTTTTGTCCTTAAACATTTTTGTTTTGATCTAAACTTTCTTTGAATATGACGGAAGATTTTGATTTAGATTAATGTTTCTGCTACAAAACAGGATGCTATATGTTATTATGGAATTGGAATGGAGTTTTTTTCCTGCAAACTTCATCAATCATCGGATATGGTGGCTGAGATATTGTTTTGGAAAATACTATTGGAATTTATCAAACTGTGTTCAAATATGTATAAGTTTTGTTATTTGGAAAGTGAAAATTTTTAGGTGATTTTTTTTTAATATTTTAAAGGGCAAAACAAATTTATCTTATTATGTTATTGATTGGTGCACTGGCTACATCACATACTTTTTTATATTCCAATTAATATGATAATGAAAACTTTACTGGTCTTTTTTATTTTGTATTGATATGTATAATTCGAAATATAATTTTATATTTTGAAACATATAATTTGAAATATAATTTAGAATGCATTTTTTATATGGTATTTCAAAATGAATAGTCCAAAACTGTGAGACCTTGGAAAATTAACACTGCAAACCTCTGTCAAATCAAATTAATGCACCCACGTCATTGCTCAGTATCATAAAAACGCACTCACATCTCTGCCGCACGTCTGCCATGTGTCAAGTTGGAACATTCTGAAATCAGTAAGTGGAAGACAGGTGTCCGCGTGTGAGAGAACGTCCGTTTGACATGGGGAAAAGAACTGAATTTTTCTGAAACACTCCTTCCCATTCTCTGCATGCACTCTTCTTCTTCCTCAAAACTGATTTCTCATTTCTCCACCTTCTCTCTAGAACCCATTTCACCTTCTCTCTACTGTAACTCACCACCCTCTTCCTTCTTCTCCGATCACGTTTCAATTGTCAGAGCTGTAGACCTTCCCTATGTCGCGACTCCATTTTGGACCGAACAGCTTCATATTCTTAACGCGGGTAATTTCCTCCCAACCATAGACGCTCGTTTCTTCTCTGGAGTTACACTTTGCGAACCCAGATTCGCTGCTGCTAAGGGTTAAGCTAAATCTTCTAACGTTTCTTTTGGTTAGATTTAGTGAAGAACTTAAGGAAAACGTTGAGTGTAGAAAAGCCATAGTTGGACGAGTCAAAGTCATACTCTTAGGACGTTTCACTCACTGATCCGGATAAGGGAAGCTTATTTAATTTAATTGATGCTTGTATGATGTATGAAAGCATGATATGAACTGGATGCATGAGATGTATGCTGATTGATTTGTTATGAACGATCGCTGTTATAATGAATATGGTATATGTTGGTTGAACGTTATGTTGATGATTGAAAAGTATGAATGATTAATGTGAATCATATAAAGTTTATAAATTGACATTGATATGAAGTATAAAGTATGAACTGATATGTTGAATTTGAGATCTGTAATAGATGAAAAATCTGAATGTAAATTACTACTCCCCTATGATACTTACGTTCGTCATTCTACGGTCTTAACCGTTTCGGTTTCCTAGTAGTGGACCTTAAAAGATGAATTCTGTCATTCGAAAAATTTCTAATAATCGAGAAGAGCGTCCCTTTTGGGGATACTATGTTTGAGCGTTCGGCTCATCATAGTGGCACCGTATACCTTAAATTAAAAAATAGTATTTTACACTCTTATGCTTTAAGATAAGTAGCGCTCTGTCTTATACCAAGCGTTCGTCCTAAATAGCTGTCGGTCTTATACCAAGCGTTCGTACTAAATAGCGCTCGGTCTTATACCAAGCGTTCGTCCTAAGTAGCGCTCGGTCTTGTACTAAGCGTTCGTCATAATTAGTGCTCGGTCATCTACTAAACGTTCGTCATGAGTGGTGCTCGGTCTTATACCAAGCGCTGTATTATTGAATACCCACTTTGATAAATAGCGTTCGTTCAAGTAATATAATATTCACCTTTCCTCACGTTCGTTCAATTACTGGTATCGGTCTTCCATATGCGAATTACTACAAAGATAGTTCTAAATATTTTGACTCTCCTTCTTACATTAGATCTGGTCTAAGGTCTTCATAATGAAATTTTCTCTAAGTACCAGTGTACCTCCAAACGGGTTAGTTCATTTGACTGACCGACTAGATAGTAACGTTCGCTATAGACTTTTTCGTTCATTCAATACCTTTCTCTGGACGTTCGTCCTAGTTCTTTAGAGGACTGAACGTTCGTTATTTTATGCTCTTAAATCTAAAGATGAAAATGATGATAAATTATAAGGACTTGAAGTGTGAATACTATATTGAGTGATTATACGATTATGATTTTGGACGAGCGTTCCAGGGAGGAACGACTCATATATGTTGATTATGGAATTTTGTAAAGTATGACTATGGTCATGCTAATGCTGGCTGGTCCATCCTGATGTTCCGTGAGTACCATCCTCACGTAGAGGGGGTATGTCAATGTGTGGAACGCAGAGGTTCTATTCCTTAGGGTACTTTTGGATAGGGCAACCTCCGAGTGCAGCTGTTGAGTTGTATCCCAGTACTACAATCACCTCGGGTGCAAGGACGCCTGTAGCTACACAGATTCATACAGTCCAGACGGTCTGTCTAGTATATATATATTTCTATGTTGTTATATGTTAAGTTACTTGTTGTGTGGATTGAAATGTTAAAAGTATATTTTGATGTATGAATTAAATTATATAAGCTTACCCTTTCGTTTTCCTTGTGTTGTCATTTGTCTATGTACGTTCGTCCTGTCCTTGCAATGATCATCCGTGTGGATGTGAGCAGAAGGCGAGGCCACTCTGGAAGACGTCATTGAAGAAGAAAATCTGGTCGAAGTGGAAGTCAAAGCCGAGCCTTAGAACGATCGTTTATTTTAGGAGTTAGATGTTAGTTTTCATTTTGACGTTCGATTAATTATTTTTGTAAAACCGTTCGTTCTAGACATTCACTGTTTCCGCTTCGTGCATGTTAATTCTGTATTCAAGCCGTTCGGCTTTTGAACTTCATTTTATTAATGTAAAGACTGCATTATTTTACTGTTAAATGTAATTAATTCTGATTTATGGTAATTACTGTATCTTGGGATGTTACAAAAACACATTTTGAAATTTAAAAAATTATGGATGTACATGCCGAAATTAGGAAGGTTGAGTATGCATAACATTCTGTTTGTATGTGTGTTTCACCCTCCAAATACTTCATCCTAATTTTATGTTTGTTGACAATTTCTACGTCAAACTACACCCATTTTCTCCCTATTATGAAATATGTATCCTTACAGTCCATTTCTCATATATCAAAATAAAACCCTACACTTCATTTACACGCAATTATGATATATCTCTTACCTTTCTTAATATTTGAATTTGTATTAGTTTATAATGTAATTATATAATTTTTTAATTATTATAAATTAATTTATATAAATTTATTAAAAATTATAAAATATTTTAGAATAAAAAAAAAACTTAACCCATCATATATGAAAATTCAATTATATCGATTTGAAATAGAAAATATAAGCACTTATCCCTTTCTTTCTATACTCAACAGAAAAAATAACCAGTACCTTCATCTTCATCAACCTCCACACTTTGTCACTAGTAAAAAAACGTAATTTGAACTCGCGTAATAGGTTCAGTTTCCTGCGGTGGCATTTATGAAATTTAATCGAACTTATACGCCTCGGTTCCTTTTGAACTGAGACATTTTAGCTATATTACTTCAATTAAAATAACAACCGATGCCTAACACTCTACCATTCCACCTACTTTCTGCCCCGCATACTTTGCAGCTTTTCGAACCTGACATATTGCTTTGGGTTCTTCAGAGGGAAAAAAAAAACCCCCCCGAGGCAATAGTAATAAAGAAATGGAAAATGAAGGGTTAACGAGTCATATCTTATCGGAAGATAAACCAAAATGAATCCAACATTTGCCTAAGCATGAAAACTACGGAGAAGAAACATAAGTAATTTTTGTTCTATTCATGGCTATCTCACTCCCTCTCCCTGCAACCAATCCATCATTTGACACACAAGAATAACCACCATCACCAACACCCAACAAACACCACCCATCCCAGGGATCCACCCTCGAACTCTGCATAGGAAAATTCAATGTCTTCGACCTGGCTCTTCCAATCAGTACTTGTCTCCATCGCCTGACTCTTCGACGCCCAACAGACCTTCATCACCGTCTTCACTTACGCCCAACATACCTTCATCACCGTCTCCACTGCGCATGCTTCCATCGTGTCAGACTAGGGTTTGGAGTGCGCGAACTCTGTAATCTCGGGGATTTCCGCTTCGAGCTTCTTCGTTGGGTGCTTGGTGGGAGGATTCAGGCTAGCCTCGTTGGCTAACTCCTCGCTCGGGCAAAAGAACATGTGCATCACTTCTCTTCTCGTCACTCTCTCACGCAACGTTTGGATCTACTCCGCGCTCAAGTTCCTCTACGGCTTCGCTCGCGCGACCATGGACACTTTTGCGCTCGTGCTCGCCACCGAGATCATGGGCAAACGGCGGTGCAGCCAATGAGAAAGTAAGGAATGCAGAGTGTGCAAGCGAGAAAGCTCGTTTTTCAGAATCAAAGGCCCCTGATTCTTCTTCTGATTCTTCCTCTTTCGACTCCAACCCTAAGAGAATCAAAGGCTCCTAGAGCGCCGAGGAGGATCGCATCCTCACCCGCCTCGTCGATCGGGTCCCGTAACTGGTCCTTCATCAATCGCTACATTGAGGACAGATCTGCAAGTCCTGCTGCCTACGCTGGTGCAATCAACTCAGCTCCACCATTCAGCACCGACACTTCTCTCCCCAAGAGGACGAGACCATCATCGTCGGCCAACAACGAAGGAGCCACTTCTTCTCTCCAGCGCCGTCGTGGCTGAGGACAAAAAAACCGTACTAGATCACACACCGGATCTCTCATGAGATTGCGCCAGGTGTTTTGGGATAGATGAGAATGTGACCGGACACTGTACTTTCATTAATAATCATATTGCCCTTTTGTCCTTTTTTTATTTTTGGATATT